GTTCGGGCGTCCGCTGGCCGCGTGGACGGTGCGCCCGCCAGGTCCGGCGCCGCCTGCCGCGGCCCGAGCCGGAGGCTCCTCCTGTCGCCGGCCGAGCGGTCGGAGAGCCTGGCGTCCGGAGCTGAGCGCTGCTGCTCGGGTTCCCCCACTTAGCAAAAGTCACGTTTCCGGGGAGACTGGTTTGGCCTCAGGGATGGAGCGGGGTGAGAGTGAGCTTGCGGGAGGCCCGCGCCCCGGGGCGGGGATGGACGCGGGGCCGATGCTCCAGAAGCGGACTGCTGCGTTCCTGTGCGGTGCTGGAGCCCCCACCGCGGAGACTTCTCCCTTCCTAGTTTGTGACTCAAAGGAGATGGGAGTGTTAGAAATTTTCCTACATCCAGTTTCTGCTCTGACCAGTAAAGGAAGAAAGGTTGCAGGGAAAATTTTCCAGTCTTTACAGCTAGCAGGAAAATCGCTTTCACGCTTTTCACGTGTTTTTATTCGAGTTTTCTTTAAACCGTCCAACTCCCCTCCCACCCCCTTAATTTGAAGATTGTCCTCGAGGCCTTGGAGAGTAGTCATTCATTATTTCATTATGTTTATTTATGAATTTCTCTAAACGTAGACGAAAACCAAGTCTCCAGACAGTGAAGTCATTTAGCAGTGGTTATTGGGAAGATCATTCACAGAGATGGTAATGGAATACTGGAAACTCCTAAGGAATCTTCTGTAATTCTTCGGGCAGTCTTTGAATGAACTGTTATATAGCAGCTTTTCTAATAGTGTATATCAAATACACTGTAGCCTGTTTTTATTTGCAAATTTTCAGCTCCGCAGTAAAGAGCATCTTAAGTTTTCGTGAAAGCTAGAAAATATGATGTGTTCTCAGATATGGTCTACTTGGCTAGCAGAAGCATGTATAAAGCTGTTGCCCTCCAAGTCATTCATCCCATGTAATAATTCTGATTTAGGACCTATTTTGTGGTGTCCAACAGAGTAGAATCAGCTTTAACCTAATAGAAGCTATATTCAGCTGTGCGAAGACAGCACAAGAATTCTCAACACCGTTATTAACGCCATGGCAGTGGAAAGCTTTGGAAGATATGTCTCCCAAATCTTTGAGAATATGTCTTGGCTGTGGTACAGATCAGTAATAGAAATCACAGTAAGCTATCAGTCTAAAAAAATAGGGGGACAGTAAAAGGTTGAAGGTGTAGCAAATTCAAATTTGAAGACTGAAAAAGTGGAATATTGGCTATTGGCAAATCTTTCCTCACCAGTTTTTTCTTGGCAAATGAAAGCCATAAAAGTGAGAGATTATTTTTGTCAGCTTCACTTTTTTTAATTCACAGCAGACTGCTTAGAAGACTGCCAAAAAAGTAGAATAAAATTAATATCCATAAAATAACATTTTAGGCTTTTAACTATGCAAAAAATTTGAATAAGTCACAGCCCATCTGTTTCGTAATTTAGCTTTAAGGTTTCTTCTACAATTCTGTCATGTAATGGATGTGGTGGTGTGCACCTGTAATCCAAGCACTCAGGAGGCTGAGGCAGAAGAATCATGAATGGAAACCAGCCTGAATTACACAGATGCTGTCTCCAAAAAGAAATTTTTTTTTTTGGTCTGTAATTTTAACTTTTCATAGAATTAGGGAGAAAAGCCATTCATCTTACAAACATACGGCTTTTGTTTTGCTTTCGTAAAAACTTGATGTGCTATCACTTAGAGTTGATTGAACTTGACAGTGTTGTTTTCTAGTATAGGTTAAATTCTGCTACAGCAGAGCACCCTGTTTGGAAGATTCCCAAGTTTTACAGAATGATCTATTTTCTATTAGGCAGTATGTAATTTAACACAGTTATTATGCCTGAAATTTTGGTACTATTTCACGAAATGTGTTAAGTGATTTCTTTCCTTTTATGGCTATTAAGAATCTCATGGGTGCTAGACAGAGCATAGAGAGAAATAAGGTGGAGTCCTATGTTCATTGAGTTCATTTTGGCCTATGGAATGAACAACACGTTGATAATATTTATATTCCATTTGTGAAGACCAGTTAAAGCATTTCATAAGGCTATTAGAAATGCTTTTTAAAAAAGTAGTCATTAACATAAATGGAAGATACTAACCAGGTTGGAATTTGTGGGTGATGGGTAGATAGAAGTTTTTCCTGGGTGTGTAAGTAAGCTTTCTCTTTGGGGACTGTGGGTGGATAATGATAATTCTAGAGATATAGCATCCTAGGCATATTATCAGGATTTTGTTAACCTTTTCTGTAGTATCTTTGAGCCACAGTCCTTGGAGTTGTAATAATAGGAAGAGACAGCAGATCTGTCATCTGTCCAAATGAAAGTGTAGGACAATGAGTTGGATCGAAGAATGTTTTGTCTGGTCATTGGATTGGAAAATTGTTGGTCTGTGTACACAGGTTTTGTTGTAAGAGAATTAGGGTATGAAAAAAGGTATTTTGTTACAGTAGATTCCTGTTAGTTGAGTAGGTTGAAATTGAAAGCCAAAGTAGCCTGGTGTTAGATGAACCAGGTATATATTTTAGTGGTATGTGGCAATGTGTGCTAACCAGTATATTCAAAAATTTAGTAGTTACACTTGTCAACATCCTGTCATAGGTTGTTTTTCTTCCTCTTTCCTTTCCCCTTCTTATGTATCATACCACAAATATGATCTTAAAGTAGATAGGATCTGCAACTGACAAAATGGGCCATTTGTATACAAGGAGCATACAGGTGTTTCATAAGTTTATGTTACAGGTTAGTCATAGATCAATACAGATTTTGACTTATGTCACAGTTTCCTTTTGCTGATTACGGTTTCTTTTGCAGTTACTATTTCGTGTGTTCAACATTTTTAGTTTTGCAGTAAACATGTATCAGTAATGAAATTATTCTAACATTCTAGTTTAGGATGAAATTTGCATCTGTTTTTGTTTAGGAAGTAACTTGGATATTTTGTGGAGTTTTTACAGTTTGAGAAAGTTCAGGAGTATTTGTAATTATGATGATAAATACCCCAAATATCTGTAGTTGGCATTGTGTTACGTAGTTTCAACTGTGCTGTTAATGATCTTCCTGTGGGCAGAGGGCTAGCTGACTAGAGTAGTGCTACATTCCTGAAATTAGTGATTTTTTTTTTAACCTCCATGGGTTGCACATCTTCAAAGAGTGTTACAAGATTGTGGCCAAACACATCCTTTCAGATTTTGTTTTTCTGGGGGGTGGTGATGGTACTGAGGATTGAACCCAGCACTTCCTGCATGCTTGACGAGCACTCTACCATGGAGCTGCATCCCTAGCCCTTTGATAAATTTTACTTTGAGACAGTCTCACTAAATTGCCCAGGATCGTTTCACACTTTGACAGCCTCCTGCCTCAGTTTCCCAGGTAGCTGGGATTAATAGGTGTGTGCCCGCCGCACCTAGCATAGGCTTGTGTTATATCTGGACAACCGTTGATGTGCCAGAACAGACAGGTTCTATTTGGGCTATTGTAAGCAGATTTTCAGATTTCCTCCAAAGACAATGTTATAAAAAACTAATTTTTCTTAAATTCTAATTTAGTTTAATTAGTTTACTTCAGCAGTATTTTTTTTTTTTTTTTTTTTCCTGGTACTGGGGCTCAAACCCAGGGATACTGTACCACTGACCTACGTCCCTAGCCTTTTTAATTTTTAAATTTTGAGATGGAGGTTTTGTTAAGTTTGGACTAGCCTCAGACTTGAAATGCCCTCAGCTCCGTGAGTGGCTGGGCTTACAGGTGTGCGTTGAGTCTGTTTTGAGCAGTACCAAAGTGAAGGCAGAACACAGTGCACCTTTCGTAATGAAACAAAAAAAGGTGGATATGTATTTTGAGTGACCTTTTTCATTTCTTTTGCAGAGAGTGTTATGTGGACTAGTGTCCTTTGGTTCTCATTCTGTTCACATCTCAGGCAGTATGGATCTCATCCTCTCTCTGTACTCCGGGAATACTTTCTGTCAGGTTGTCCAGTTTGGAGAGACTGTTGAGTCATATATTCTCTCTTAAGAATGGAGAAATAGGTATATCTTTGAAAATAGACCCACACTGAAAGATGTGGCTCTATATCCTATTTTATTAGAAGGGGAAATAGAGTTGTTTCTCCTCTCCCACCCCTTCTGTA